GGACGTGAGTTGGCAGGGCCTGGCTTTGTGGGCAAGGCCCCTGCCTACCCGCAGGAACTCTGCCTGGCACAGTCCTTTCATCTGAAGCCACCCATGGAAAAGCCGACCCCATCCCCACCGGTCAACGGCCTGGCAGCCCCACTGGCCTACCCCAATGGTCACTATTTCCAACCCCTGTGGAACAACATTCTGCCCACTCCCAATAGCGACAGCTCGGGGTCTCAGGACCTCACCATGCCGTTCCACGGTGGGCAGCCCACAGGTGCACCCCTCGACTGCGCGGCAGCTCCTGGGGCCCACTACCGAGCAGGGACCGGGGGCGGTCCAGTGGCAAGCCAGAACAGCTTGATGCAAACAGTGGATTACCTAAGTGGGGATTTCCAGCAGGCCTGCTTCCGAGAACAGAGCCTGGCCATGCTGAGCAAGGCCCACCGAGCCCCTGGCAACCGAGCCCCCGATCCCACAGATAGTCGAAGTCTTCATATTCAGCACCCAGGGTATAGATAGGTAGCCCTGGTGCCCTCCACATACAACACGTCATACATCACCCTCTTAGGTTTAGTCTTACTTTTAAGTAACTGGATAGTTTTAAAGTTTCACTGCTCCAATGTGATCATTCTTAGATGTCTAAGACAGGGAATTTGGTGAGATCTAATTGGGGGCAGAAGGGGTCTTCTCATCCTCCTCTCAAGAAACTTTTGGTTTTAACCCCAACCTAACCCCAATATCAGGCTTTTCTCTCTGCTGTCTGCCTCTCAGTCCTTCCACCTTGGCCATTTCCAACTAGCTTGAACCTCTACCTTTTTTCCTTAGGACTGAGGTGTGAACTGAGGGAAGGGCCCTAGTTGAGGTAGCTGTAGGTGCCCAGGCCCCTAAGCCAGGCCCCCCCCACCCTTTCTGGGACTAAGAAGCCAGACTTCCTAAGTGCTCTGGAAGCTAATTCCTCATTTACCCAAAGATCTCAAAACTGACCTAGTCTTTTTCGCCTTCCACTTCCATTCCTCAAGGTTTTGTTTTGTGTCTACATTGATCACAGAGCCACTGCACTGTCCTTGCCATGCTCAAATTCAGAGGCATTCTACAGGTATTTGGCCTAGCCTTGAGATATGGGGGGGGAAATCTGTATTGGCATCTTGGTTTCTGACTCCCCTTTCTAGACCTAGAGAAACACAGTCGTCCAGCATAGCCACGATCCCTTTCTCACGGTTGCCTCTCTCATGACTTACTGCTGTCCTCATCCTGTACACTTTCCCCCTCAAAAAAAAAAAACTATCTTGCTTAAGGATTTAGGTAGGTAAGTGATGATCACATTGGAGTTTGGGATTAAAAACACCAAAAAAAAAAAAAGTTAAAATGCATTTGGTTCTCTACACTGGCTAAGAATATTGCTCTACACTGTAAGTTTTAAATGTCATGTTTCTGTACGAATGTAGTGTGGGTTTGAGTAGCATTGTGTGTGAGTGGCCCCACAGGTACATTCACCCTCTAGTAGTGCAGCCCCTCAGTTTAATGAAGAAAAGAAAAAAAAAAAAAACACAAAGCCTTAAGCTCTTTGAATACTTCCTTTACCAAATGAGCATGGTTCTAACAGCTGGAGATGGGCCTACATTGGAAACTACCCCGTGCCCATTCTTAGAGCACACCCTCATCCACTCCATGCTCAACGTGTCTCATTCCCAAGTGACAATTAGTTGGCTAGAAATTCAACCCGTTTCTGTAACTTTAGATTGTGTTTTGTTGTAAATTTTTGCACCCTTCTTTTGTTAAAGATGCACAATTGGGCTCTTTTTTTTTTTTTTTTTTTTAAATCAAGCCCTTACCTTTCCTCTTGTCTCTGGGGAATGTAAACTGATGTTCTTATTTAAGATTTGGGGTTTTGTTTACTATATTATCCACTGTTCTTTAGCCAGAAATTCTCTAGTGATCTGAAGCAATGTGACTGAAGACCAGTTTTTAAATTATGTGTTGGCAAGTTGCCTTATATTTAAAAAGACAAAAAAAAAAGAAAAAAGGAAAAAAAATGCCTGATTGTGTTATGCCAAATGATAGCAACTGAAGTCCTAATTTATTGTTCCCGATTGTTTTCCTGCCGTCTGTGAACACTGGTACCTCCCTGTCCCTCAGCCCTCAGGAGCACCTGCAGCTTCTGGTGTAATACGTTCTCCCAAGGTGTTGGCCACCATCTCACCCAGGGCCCTCTTCCAGTTCCTGCTTTTCTGGGTCAGATTTAAAGAGCACTACTGTCTCCCCTTATCTCTTGCTTGATCTTCAAACCAGATATTCTCACTGTAATTTTCCCCCCAATGCCTCTCCCTGAAAGGTGAGCTGCCATTTTAGGAAATCGGGCCAGACACCAACTTGGGGGCTTGTGAGTCGAACAACCTCAAACCCATCTCTTCCTGTGTAGGGGTGCAAGTCTCTAAAGCTCTCACTCCCACCCCTAGTCTGCATGGAAAATGTACTGTGATTCCCCCGCCCCCAACTACCTTCGCCTTTGGTGTGAGATGTTTCCTAGTTCAACCTGAGTCCCTCTCCTCCCTCTGCCAGCCAACCCCCAGCCAGCAATAAGGGTCCAAGCCAGGGCCTCCTGTCCACACTCCCTGCCTCCATCCCACACTACCCCTAGGGAATACCTGGATTCCCCACTCTATCCACATACTGTAGCATTCATTCTCCATCTCTCTCACCTTCTCACCTGTGGTGGTTTATGGGTGTGATGGGGTTTTTAAGATTATTATAAACCAGTAAAAGAAAAAACAACTCACTTTTTGACCTTGTCCTATTCGTTTAATGCTGTGAATGTTTGATATAATTTTTTCTTAATAACAGTTTCTAACATGTCTCACTTGCTAGAATGGGAGTGATTCCTCATTTTTAAGAGGGGAGCACATATTTGTATTCATCCCACCCAGAAGCCCTCCCGAACCCATTATCCCAGACCAGGTGCTGTGTTGATTGTAAGTCACGGGTAGACAGTTCCTTCCATCAACCCCTGGAGAGTATCCAGCTGGCAGGTTCTCTCCCCAGGAAGGGCTGCTAGGGCCTTAGTGTGAAATTTGGTGGCTAAATATGGTTTGCTGCCCCTCAGTGGAGGCCTAAAGGGTCTTGCCACTTTCACTCCAAGGGCCATCAGTCATTGAGAAATGGGGATCTGGTTTGCTAATAAGCCAAGCTAAAACTTTAAACCTCCCCTTCTCCCACCTCCAACATTTTGGAATTTGTGGGGGCCTGTAATGCAGAAGTGGAGGTTAATAGGTGCTGTAATCTGCAACATAAATTGACCCTTTTTGGCTATTCAGATTTTTTTTGTGTTGTGCTAGAGAACTTTCCCTTTTGTCTGCAGAGGAAAAATAACCAAGAGCCATTTCAATTTTTTCTGCTGAGTTTGGGTTTGAGCTAAGAGGTAATGAGGGAAATATTGACTCCACAGGATGTGGGATTCAAGGAGGGTAGAATCAGACACTTGGTACTGGTAAGAGTCAGCAGGTGGCTTCTAAGCTCATGGAGTCCTTAGCATGCCTTTTTGTGGGGTCCCCTTTTGTGAAAGTGCTTTTCCTCCTTTATGCCTCATGCTGCCCCTGTGAAGGAAAGCCCTCTTCTGCCTGTCAGGTAAGACCTACAGTCAGCCTAAGGTCACAGAGCTAGAGTAGATAGGTGAGCCCAGCTCTGCCTTCAGAGTGAATGATTCCTGGGCTGAGGTAGGTGCGTGGAGAGTCCAGCTCACACTTTGATACAGAACCTGACCTGAGTTCCACAAAGTAATTATGACTGGCACCAGAATGAGGGCCAGGCCTGCCAGGCTGGCTGAGCATGAGGTAGATTGTTAGGCCCTATGGTTGCATACAACTCTGGGAGGCACCATCTAGTCTGTGAATGTGACCCCTGGAATCATGCAATGGCCCAGTCCTGGCAGCAGAGGGAGGCAGGGTTTGATGCAGGTGTCTAGTGTCTTTTGAGATGCTGGAAGGGTGGTCTGCCTGTTTCCTGGAGGCATTTCCTCTGCCCATGGTTTTCCCTACCAGTTTCCAGGCATCCACTGTACCAAGATGGCTTATCTGCTAAAGGGCCCATCTCTGTTTTCTAATTTTTTTTTTGTACGGGGGAAGGGGTGCAGACCTTCCATGCCCTCGGGTACACCACCTCCAGGACTCTGCATGTTATCAGCTGTCCATATGCTCCCAGTTCATTTAATCTTTACAGCAAATCTGGGTGAGCAGGCTTCATTTCACTGTGCGGGTACTGATGCTCCATGCCAGAAGCAAGCACAGCAAGGACCCAAACCCAAATCTATTGCCAAAATTAGAGGAAGCTACACATCTAGGGATTGCTGGAGCTCTTAAAATAGAATCCAGGCTTTTCCCTGACCCAGCTGAAAGATCACTGTTACAAGTTAATTCACTCCTCTGTTCCCACTTAAGTGATTAAATACAGATAATCACAAGCACTCCCTTATAAAAAGCAAATGAGATATGGATCAGAAAATCCAAGTGCCTTGCAATTCTGAAAGCCCCTTTGCTCAGCTTAGTCCCTGCGTGTGGGCTGGGGCCAGGAACATCCACTGTCTCTAACTGCACTACAGCCCACTAAGATAGGTCCTTTTATTATTGTGATAAAAGCTACTTCGCCTGTTGTATTAAGTGAAAAAATGCACATCAAGTGCTTAGCAGTGCTGGTAGCTGTTATCATCAGTCCCAGAAAGACCTGGCTAGGGCGTAGGCACTGTCTTTGGTGGGTATAGACCAGGGACTCCAGCCTTATAAAATGTCCAGGCAGGCCATGCACCGCCCCCATCTGATCACCAGAGGGCAGAAGCAGGCAACTGTCTTCCACACAAAGCCTGATGCAGTTCCCCAGTCACACACACGAGGGCAATCCAGCCAGGTCAGCTGGATCCTGGGGCCAGAGTGGCAGCAGCCTTTCTCTGACTGGTTCTTTGCCTTCTGTTGGGGCTCAGCCTCCCAAGGCCCTAACCAATCCAGACGAGTCGGGCTGGAACCAAGTTAATAAATACAGTTCAGGATTTATTAAAAATCAGGGCTCCCTCGCTGTGCCCTCCTGGCACTAAGGAAATAAATAACCAGAGGGGGCACAGCTGGGGAAAAGGGGAAAAGACACCAGATCTCAAGACAGATTTTTAACTACTCCTCCCCCATTCCCAACTCCCCACTCCTATGGCTCTTGGGAGATAGCACCTGAGCAGGCACCTCAGTCCGGGTAGGGTATGGCCGGCACCAAGGCATGTCTGCCCTGCCCAGGAGGGGAGACAGGCCCTGGGATCACTTGTTTCCAGCCCTAGACCCCGAGACCTGCTCCCCTCAGGGGCCAGGGCTGAAGCACCAATTGGAGGCACCTGGGCGTGGAGGGTGGTGGGGCAGAGGGAGAATGGGGTAATAGAACCTAGGCAGCAGAAGCAGCTGAGGGGGTCCGGCCCCTTCTCCAGGTTCAGCCAGTACCTGACTGAGGTCATGTCCCATCCCCCTTTCCCCCAAGCCCCGCCTGCACTCAACTGAGGATCTTCCGGGGCAGCTCAACAGAGGCTCTGATGAAGACAGCATCATCCCGCACATAGTTTCGCTTTCGGATGTCCTGGTGGGAGATGAACTTGGGGTAACCAAAGCCCAGAGAACTCTCATCCAGGGAGCCCCGCCAAGTGCCAGGCTTTTGGAAATTCTTCCAGTTTGGGTCGGGGTGGAAGGTCTCAGTGACATGCTGTGGTTTAGCCAGCCCAGGGTCACTCTGATCCAGCAGGGAGAAGGTGACACGGCGGGCAAAGGGCCACTCAAGGAGATTGTCGAAGGCACCTGGCAGCACTCGAATGTAGAGTGAAAGATGTGTGCCCTCGCCACTGCCATTGCCATTGAGGAACGCAGACACCTGCAGCTTGTAACCATACTTATGTGTGTAGAAGGCTGGGCTGAAGCACTCGAGGTTGGGCTTGGCCTTGGCCTCCTGTAGCCGTCGCCCGTAGCTGCCAATCTTCCAGATGAGCACGCCGTCACTGCCCACCGACAGCTCCTCCAGCTCTCGCCGCAGCTCCTGCAGCTCCTGCCGTTGCCGGCTCACCAGGGCACACATCATGGCCAGATGTGGCTTCACACTCTCCTCCACGTGCCGTGCCATTGCCAGCTTAGGGCACTGTTGGCAAAGCCCCAGGCCAAGGGAAGGGAGGAGAGTTATCAGTAGAGAAGATTCAGAAGACAGGATAGGAGTGGGTATGGGGTAGCAGGCACCCAACTCTGAATGAAGGAGACAAGGTGCAAGGCGGAGGCCGGAACTGGCCAGCAGGGGAAAGGACTGAGGGCTTCAGAGCAGCATGGCAGGGACCACCAAGGCCTAAGTGGCATCAGGAAGCCTAGCCTCCGTCTAGGGCTTAAAGGGCAAAAGAAAGGGCTGACAGGAAGGGGAAAGGGCAGCTCACCCTGTGTTTGCACCCGGAGTCTTTGAATGGGCATAGCACCAAGGCAGTGCTACAGCTGTCCTTCAGATGGCTTGGCAGGTCCTCCCGAGCCACGGTGCCCACACCACACTGGTTGGGGCAGGGAACAGGCAGCCTTGGGCACTGGTACTGGTGGCTCTGGGGCCGCAGAGGCAGAGAGACAGCAGTCAATAGCCTGACTCCCTGTCACCTGCCCCGTAGCCCATAGCTCAAGGGCCTCACCTGGATAGTGTCGAAGACGAACTCCTTAGTGCAGTAGGTGCAAGGCTGGGTGCGCTTGGGGCACTCAGAGGTGGCATGCTGGGCCAGCAGCCGCCGCATCATGCGGGCACCACACTTGTTCTCACAGTACACACTCTCTTGGGGGCACATACCCTCATGGCTCTGTGGAAATGCCAGAGGCACTGAGTCAAGGGATGTGTGGGCCATCAGGTGCCCCACCCCCTCCTAGCCTCAACCAGGCCTCACCCACCTCATAGGCCTCCCCACTGAAGTCACAGCCACAAAACTCGCACTTGAGGCGCCTCTTGGGACAATCATGCTGCAAGTGTGCAGGCAGATCACGGCGACTCAGCTTGGCGGGGCAGCGGTTGGGGCAAGGGACGACGTTGAAGCTGCAGGTATTCAGGTGGCCCTGGTGGGAAGGGCTGCAGTTAGTGCCTGCCAGGGGAGGGGCAGTCCCAGCCCCTCACACCAGAGCCTCACCTGTAGATGACGAAGTTGCCCACTCCAGCGGCAACCCTCCTCACTGTGGATGCAGCGGATAGGCAGGCCCAGTACCTGTACTTCCAGCTCCGGATCTGGGTAGATCTGGGGGCAGCGATGGGGGAACTGGCCAGGGTCAGAGCCTGCTGCAGTCCCCAGCTCCCACCCCCACCCCTAGTTGGGCTGGCTCTACCTTAGTGCCAGTAACAGCCTCTTAGGCTATTTGCCCGTCTGTGTCCAGTGATGAAGGGCACAGCAGGTGATAACTAACTGCTCTGATGCTAGATCCCAACATGCCTGCACATGACACTCCCTTTGGAGAGGCAGCCAATCAGCCTGCTCAGTCCCAGGCTGTCCCTCAATGCTCTGTTTCCTTCCCCCTAGTGAAGGGGTCCTGGCCCTCAGCCACAGGTCTGGCTTGCCACCGGAAGGGGAGGGAGCACTTCTTGTGGGCACAGAGCAGCTCTGTGTACCCCCACACAGGCTGGGCATCGTGCCTGCCCTCCAGGGCAAACACGGGCCTCCGTTTGCAAACTGGCCTGGTGGGAGGGAACAGGCTACCTTTGTGGGGGCCCATGATCCCAAGGCTCTTGGTTGACATTGGCCCTGCGCCCACTGGCTGCCAGCAACTTCAGCCTCCACCAAGGGCAACAGCCTGTGCCTCTTCCTGGCAATGTGGACTCACCTTGGCATAGTCCAGAGGAAGTTGGTCCTCAGGGCATTTGAAGACTCCTTCACTGAAAAGGGGGAGGGGCACGGTCAAGGCTTCCCATTAGGGGAAGAAGTATCCTGGGCCCCACCCCCTCAATCAGAGCAGCCTCCCTCCCTCACCAGACCGGTTCCCAACTGGCACCAGCTGAGACAAAAGGCCAAGCAGAGGCCTAAGGGGACCCACTTCCCCAGGATCCCAGAAGATCCAGCCCCTGTCCTGGGAAGGGGGTTCTGGGCCCAGCGTGGCAGACAGCTGCCTCAGACAGCACTTGGCCAACAGGTGGCAGCTGGCACACCCCCCCCCAGGATGGCAGCTGGACTGGGAAAAGAACAGGCTGCCGGGCTACCCCTCCCCCTAGGTTGGTTTTCATTGGCCAGGCTGAAGGCTGATGGGGAGGGGGAACAGGGATGGGCCGAGATTAAGTGCCAGGGCTGTCCAGCCCCCGGAAATGTGCCCTGCCAAGAACCAGGGCAAAGGTCAGCATGGGGCCACCTAACCCTATCCCTCTCCTCTCCTTTCAGGGTGTGTCTCCTCAAGGAAAGAGGAGGAAAGGCATGCTCCCTAGCACTTGTTTACACTCCTGACAAGCCTCTGATAAGGGTCAGAATGTCCCCATTTTACAGGTGAGAGAACAGAGGCTCACAGCTGAAGCAGCATCTAGATACGTCTGATTCCACAGCTCAGACAGGCTCGACTACACCATACAACACACAGGAGAGAGGCCGGGGCAAGAAAAAGTGTCCAGGCAAGCACAGGCAAGACTCTGGTCACTGCTTAGTAGGTTTCTGAAGCTTGTTGACCCTGCCCACCACGCCAGCTGCCCTCCTTCTGCACCAATCCCCACCTGGCTGTTAGCAGCCAAGGAGCCTGGAGGCATGCTTCCTCCTGCCAGTATGCCCTTGCTGACCCCAGCTAGGACCAGTCACACATGCCAGGATGGCTAAGACAGGGCAAGGGCTCAACTAGCAGGACTGAAGGCCCTTGGGCAGGGCATTCCTGGCAGGTCTGAGTCAGGTAGGTGGGAGGCAGGTAGGGATCAAGGCGGAGGCAGAGGCCACATAGCAGCCCTGTTCCGAAGGCACTTTCCAGTGCCTGGGTAGCCCATGCCCCAGGTGCCCAAAGGATTTCTAGCACCCACCTCCTCCTCCGACCCCACTACCACTGGCCATGCCACCAATGTCAAGGACAATACATGCCCAGGCACTGAAGGGGTGTGCCTGTGCCCACAGAGCAACCAGCCTTCCTGGATCAACCTGAGAAATAGCCCTGATAAGAGTGGGGAAAGAGGGGTGGGCCAAGGGGGCGGGGGTCCACTTGGCTGCTTCAGGAATGTGCTGACTTAGTGGTTTTGGAGACAGGGAGGGGACTCAGGCAAGTCCCCAGGCTTCAGACAGAAACTAAGCCTCCAGCTTGGGGCCCAGCCAGGAAAAAGGTTCAGCCAGGGCTACGGACACCCGTGCTTGTAGGGTAGGGGGTGATTGTGAGGGGCAGAGCCTGCCCAACCACCTCAGAGGCCTGGGCAGTGTAGCCCAGGCACTGGGGCAGAGGCTGCTCCTGGCTGCGCAGTGGAGGCCCAGGGAAGAAGACAGGATGGGGGAGGGGGCCACGGGAGAGGAAGAGGGGATTTCCGGGAGGGGGAGGGGCAGAAGCTGCAGAGAGGGGGCCTAGGAGGTGGTGGAGGCAAACGTGCCTGACAGCCCCCTCCCTCACTCCTTCCCCAAGGCAGTGGGGGTGGCTCAGCTGGGGTGGGGGGAGTGGCTCAGCTGGCCTCATCTGGAAACCAGAGGGCTGGGGAAGAGCCTAGAGAAGACAATGGGACTGTGTCTGTAGGGGAGTAAGTGTGTACACTGCAGGGAGGAGGGCGGAGGGTGAGGGAAAGGGAGGAGGGGGCCGCACAGCAGCTTGTGCAGGAGCATATGTGAGGGCAGGAGCCGGCCCAGGCTGTGGGGAACAGAAAACAAAGGGCCTGCTGAGATTTCCGCCAGCTCGGGCTGCCGAGGACCAAGGGAGGGAGGGAGCACTAAAGGCAAGAGCCCCTGAGGTGCTCTCCCAGCCTGGGCCCCTCGATCTCCTAGCAGAGCCAACAGCCTCCTGACAGTGCTGACCCAGCCTTCCCCTGCGCTCTGGGGGCATGACCTCCCCAGGAGCGGAGGCTCCCTCATGTTGCCTCCCCACACGCGGGCCTGAGCAGTAACCGCGTGGGCCGGAGACAAGACACCACAGAGCACCCTGAAACTTGCTGGATGCCCAAGAGCCAAGTGGTGACCTAGGGTCCTCACAGGGCAGGGGGGTGTTCCGTATCAACGAGCGTGCGACCCCCTCCTAAACGATGTATTGACCACCCGCCTCACTCTAGACCCCGGGAGAGGGAGAGACGCCTGAAGGAGTCCTGCCTCAGGGGAGGATTGTACCGCCACAGTCCTCCCTCTATTGTGTGATCACAAGCAGCCCAGACTTAAATCCCAGTTAAGCCTCCTAGTAATTGTGTGACCCTGGGTCAGTCGCAGCCTTTCTTTGAATCTCATTTCATAATCTGTGAAATGGGAGGACAATAGCTGCCGTTCTCCGAACGTTCGAAGAAGCAGAAGAGGTCAGATGGGTAAAAACTCTGGAGGCTTAACGTGCCGCGCGGGAGAGCGTTTTGTCCTCTTCCCTGAAGGATTCAAAGTTCAAGGATGGGGCCGCTCTGGCGCTCAGGTGAGGGGGAAGGGCCGGCCGCGGGTCAGGAAGGGCCTCTTTCCCATCTCCGCCCCGCGGGAAGGCATCGGGTTCTTCTGACCTGGGACGCGGCAGGTAGGACCTGGGACCCTATGGATTAGTGCATGGGTACTCCCTCGGGGCTGACGTCACACCTCCCCTTGACGTCACGGTGGGCGCCCCTGAGGTCATGGGGTCGCGGCACAAAGGCACGCGTGTGCCTCGGGCCTGAGCCCCTCCCCAAGCGGTGTCCCCCTCCCCGCCACCTGCCGTCCCCTGCCACCCCCGACCCGCACCTGAGGAACTCCTGCAGGCAGGTGTCGCAGAAGCGGTGGCCGCAGGTAGAAACCTGCACCGGCTCGCGCATGGGCTTCCCGCACAGCGGGCACAGCAGCCGTCGCTTGGGCTTCTCCAGGAACTTGTAGTCGAAGCCGGGCATGGCGGGCGGGCAGGCGAGCGGCGGGCACGGGCGAGCGGGGCCGGGCACGCGGCGGCCCCACAGCCCGCGCCTAGCTCCGGCCGCGCTCCCGGCTCCGGGCGGCGCCGACTGGCAGCCGCGGCCAGGGCCCGGCTCGCGAGCCCTCCCGCCGGAAGAGGGGGCGGAGCCGCGGCCCCGCGGTCCTAGTGCCGGCCGCTGGGCTCCCCGCCCACCCCGCGAGCTGTCGGCTTTGGGGTCCGGATGCGGCCAGACAGTCCCGGGGCCGCGAAAGTGAGTCTGGCTAGCCCATTCCCGGAAGCAGGGGCTTCTTTTTCCCCTTGGAGAGAGGAATCGTGGCTCCACTTCTCCCCAGAGCCGGGGGGCCCGGCGCTGGGGTGTGGCGGAGGGCCCCTGGGGAGGGCGCGTCGGAAAAGGGGACGCGCCGCACCGCACCACAAAGGTTTGCTTCTCCAAAGTCAGCAGCTTGGTCTCGGGAGCCACGTGCCGCCCAGGGACCCGGGGCCCCAGCTTCCAGGTGCTAGGCAGCCGAAGCCTGGCAGCCAGATCCGGGGAGTCCGGCTGGGGCGAGGAGGCCGGGCTGGGCACTGGGCCAAAGGAACCTCGGCCCCAGCCTCAGGCTGCACCTACATTCCTCCCTCGGTCGCAGCCCTGTAACCGAGGTCGAGCCCAGCCCAGTCCTGGCGTGTCTGGACGCCACCCCCACCTCTGAAGAGACCACACTCCAGGCAGGCAGCTGATATTTTTATTGGCGTTACTTCCAGTCCTCGGGGAAACTGGTCAGGTCCCACCCGCTACACTTTCCCCCAACCTGGTTCTGGGGAAAGGCACGGGGTGAGGGGCAACCTTCAGCCAGAATCCTCTCTGCTGTAGACACTTAGTGGCTTCTGCTCTCTCGCTGGGGAAGTGAGGCTAAAAGACACCGTGCAAATCCCTGCCTCGGGGTAAAGGGGTGGGCCTAGTTGCCGCACTCCTTGGGACCTCCCTGCCCCAGGCTGTGCAGAAGCTAGGCAGGCCTAATGGCCAGTCTAGGCAGGCCCTGGCTTGCCCTACTCCAAAGCTTGGAGCCAGTCCCGGTGGGCACCAGGGACTTACTTTCTAACTGGGCTGGGGCAAAGGGCAGGCTCTGGGTGGAGCCACAGCTGCCTTCAGCCTTTCTGTGCCAAGGCTCTGGAGACCACCCTGTTTGCAAAGGCTAGGTCTGGCTTCCAGGTCTAGCCAGGCTGGACCCTGGGGACACTGACTTAAAGGAAGAGGGAGTAGGAAGGGAAAAGGGGTGTTAGGGGAACAGAGTGGGTTGAGGTTTCCATATCCAGAACCAAAAGCAGAGCAGGACTTTCACTGGCCCTTATACCCCATTGATGACACAATCCAGGGAGCTGGTGGGGACCATCATGCCTCAGGCACCTCAACTTTTCAGAACATCCAGAAGAGAAGCAGTATTAGGGGTGGTCCAGAGGTGTATCCAGGTGCCTCAGGGGGGGACTGGCTCATCTGTGAGCGCTGGAGGGTACCAAAGAGAAACCCCTGCAGTCTCCCAGAGGGCAGCGCCTCCAGCAAGCATCACCCACCTCCACCCCCACTGGGCTCTGGATTCTAGACCTGCCAGGCCAGAAATAGAGGTTCAAAGTCAAGCAGACACGGGGGGTAGGAGGAGAAAGAATGCATTCAAGCCCTGGGGAGCAGTGGAGGCAGCCCTTCAGGAAGCACCCACCCTTGCCCACCCCAGGCAGGAAGCTCAGAGTTCTACCCCGCAGCTTCTGCTTTCTTTCATCTGGGGGCTAAAGATGCCTTCGGTGATTTGGACTGTGAACTCTGGGGAAGGGAGTGTAGGCAGGACCCAGCTGGGGCAGCTCTGGTGAGGTGAGTTGGGAAAAGTTGTAACTCACGGCGAACAGCCAGGAGAGTGTTTCCATGGCAACAGGACACAGAAGTCACTGTGTAAGGGTGTGTCTCCTCCAGCTGCACTGGCCGGGGGAGTCCAGCATCCTCATCCCTCCTTCCCAGTCGACCTCGGGCCCCTTTGCCCCAAGAGTACACTTCGCCTTCTGTCAGAGAGAATCCCACGGAAGGAAGTGGGACAGGGCACAGCCTAAGCAAGCAGCTTTACTCCCAGACTGCCAGAATGGTCCCCACGGGAGGTCGCTGAGTCCAGTGGCCCTGAGTGCATTAACCCCCCCACTGCCCATGCCTCTGTCCCCCCACTGTGCCCAGCCTCACCTGCCCCGATGGCTACAGTGAAGGCATCCCCACAGGCCACCACTGCCATCTTGATACCTTCGAGGCCTTGAACCTGACAGGGTGCCCGGCTGCCCCGGCGAGCACTGGTGCCCAACTGCCCGTGCTGATTGCTGCCAAAAGTGTAGCAGTCACCCGAGACTGTAGGGGAGGGAAGAGGAAAGGAAGGAAAGGGTGCTGCAGTGGAGGTACCAAAGAGGCCAGGTGAGTCTCCCTCTGGCCTCCTGGGCCCAAGTCCTACTCACCAGTCACGGCAGCTGAATGAGCAGTACCCAGGTCCACACTCAGCAGGGGCTCCTGGTCCAGGGGTGCAGAGCCTAGTGGTGTGAAGCTCAGGGCCTCCTCCACTTGCTGGTGCGGGACAGGCTCCTCACCCAGGGAGAGGTGGTCCAGGCCCAGCTTGTTGAACCTGAGGGCAGAGTCAGAAGCCAATTCTAACATGTATAGTCTGCCCTGTCCCGACCTATCTGGGTAGGAGCTGGTACATCAGGAGATAGATCCCACCCTGGGTTGAACTGAGCAACACCCTCTACCAGCCTCAGTTTAGGTCTTTGGTGGGAGATAGGCAATGATGGGTGGAGCACTAGCAGCCACCGAGGGCAAGGGGGCAGCTAGTCATCCTGAGGCACCTATTCACCTGTTGCTCCCACAGGCCAGGGCTCGGCCGGACACAGTGAGGATCATGGAGGAGTCAATGCCACATATAACCCGCTGGGCTTCCTGTCCTGAGGGCATGGGCACTTGCTGGGGGCAGCTGTGGGATTCCCTGGTGCCTAGTCCCAGCCTGCCTACAAGAAGAAACCGGGGTGGGGTTAGTTCCAGTTTTAGGAGTGATGATGCCAGGATGAGGAGGGCCCACCAAGAGGAGGAAACAGCATGAGTAAAGGCTGTTCTCTCAGCCTGAAATGCCTTTCCTAGGCCCCTCTGCTGGTCGAAATCCTCCTCTTCCTTTAAAGCCCTGTTCAGATACCACCTCTGTCTCCTCCAGGTGACACTGCTGTTCTTGAGTTCCCAAACCTAAGCCTCAGCTGTAGTCCTGATGCTGTCCATCCTCTAGCATGCTGGAGCTGTGTCATCTCTCCCCCAACTAAACTGAGTCCTCCAGGAGGACAGGCACCTACCCATGTCATCTCTAGTTTCAGTGCCCAGCCTGATGCCTGACCCAGACAGAGCCTCAATAAATGTCGCTGGATGAAAGAAATCTCCCTCATTATGTTGTAAACACCCGAAGGAAGCCACATCTTGTTCATCTCGTCTCAGCACCCAGCACAGAGTGGGCACATAGTGGGGGTGCGATAAGGGTTTGTTGAATTCATTCAAATAGAATTTAGGAGTAAAGAGAGAGGAGAGAATGGGCCATTGGGTGGAAGGTGGGTATGAAGGGGGACAAGTCATGGCTGAGGATCCTGTGAGATGGAGCTGAAGGGCTGGAGCAAGGAGAGGAGCTTACCGCCATCTCCACGGCCCCAGGCGAACAGTTCTCGCTCAGTGGACAGGGCCAGCACGTGAGAGGCCCCACAGGCCACCTGCACCATCTCATAGCCCAGCAGGGCCTCCACAATGGTGGGCTAGAGACGGGGAGGAAGCAAGGTGAGATTGGGCAAGGGGTCTGGGACTAGCTGCCTGGTCTCAACACCCCCTGCAGGGATAAAATTGGAGGCTGCAAGTTCTCATGAAGTGGCTTTAACTCCAGCCACACCCACTGCCAGGTGGGCAACTGTTGGGGAACCCCAGTTTTTCTGTACTTCCCTGATGTGGCTCACAGCAGGTACAACCTGGGAGCTAGAGGGACCCATGACTGCTGGAGACTACCCTGCCCCCAACCTAGAGTCAGCTCTCAGATGTCGGCTTCCTGCCATCCCCCCTTCCCAGGGTACACAGGACACCTACCTGGCTAATGTCAGTGAGGCTGCCGTGGCCTAGGCACCCGTTGCTGCCGCTGCCAAAGGTCATGATGATGCCTCGGTCTGAGGACAAGGGCAGTAAGGATTTAAGGGAGAGAAGTTAGACTCTTTTTCCAGATAGCCCAGTCCACCCATGGGTTGGAGCAGCAAGATAAAGTTGGGGGCTAGGGCTGGAAGGTGGGATTTCTGTTCCCAAGTGTGTGACTTTGGACAACTGAGCCTTACTTTCCCCATCTGTCCAATGGGGACAGTTACTATTAATACCTTGCCAGGCCTGTTGTGTCGGGTAAAGGAGATGGCGATAGTAAATCTCAACAGTTAAGTAGAAGCAATAACTCAAGTAGTAGACAGAGACGTGAATTAACTGAGCAGTTTGCAGTGAGGGAAATTGCTCTGTGGGGCCTTGTAGTGGGTCCCCATAAGATAGTCCCGTGACGGGCTCACCGGTCAGACAGGCGGTGAAGAGGTCCCCGCAGGCCACGTGCTTAATGGTCACGCCTGACTGGCCCTCCAGGAAACGCGAGATGAACTGGGGCTGTGGCTGCTCCACCGCCCCCGGGAGGAGCGGGCCCCCACCGGTGCCGAGGGGCGGGGCCTGCAGAGGGGGTGAGGAGGGAGTGGGCGGTGCCTGAGCACCCAACCCCACTTTGGAGCCCCCACCCCTTTCCGTCCAGGTGCATCTCAGCCTGCTCACCTCCCACAGGATGAGGCGCCCCGAGCGCGTGACGCCGGCCTTCTGCGTGCGCCCGGCCGCCACCTGCACCACCTCTGTGTTGAGCATCGGCAGCCGTAGGGGGGCGCCCAGCCCGCCGCCCCAGGCGTACACCGAGGACAGTGGAGGCGGGATGGCGGGCCTCACAGGTCCCCGGGGTACGCCTGCGGCAACAGTGCATCAGGCCTATTAAAGTGGTGGGAATGGTGTGGCTTCCGCAGGGACCTGGTGGCCTTCCCCACTTACCTCTGCAGCGGGCGCTGGTGGTCCTGCTCCCTGTGCTGCCGGGGGCCATGGGTGGTCCGGTGGCCAGGGACTTCTCTGACCTGCGGGACAGATGGGGGTCTCAGGACCCGGGGCCCTCCCCAGCATTCCGACCCTCAGGAATGGAGGACTCACCCCAGGCCTCCTGTGCTCCCACTGGGTGCCCCCACCCTGCCCCCCAGGACCGCCCCCCACTTCCGGCACAGGCCTCCGCATGCGGACACTGCCCACGTCGGTGTGGAGGTTGACGAGGGCGCGGATGCAGAGGGGCTGCGCCATGATGTGGCTGAGTGGTGGCCGCTGTGCAGGCTCCAAGCTCAGTAGACTCAGGACGAGCTGGCGCAGCTCAGGGCTGTACCGGTCAGAGATGGGCGCAAAAGTGCCGCTCATGATCTTCAGCACCAGCGCTGGCAGGTTCTGTGAAGGTGCCAAGTAGGGGGTGCTGGCGAGGCGAGGGCAGCACCCCCAGTTCCAGCTCCAGCCCCTAGTCTACTGGGTAGTAACAGCCCTGCTCTCAGGCGACTTCAGTATGATGGGGGGACTCCCAGAATGATAGAGGAGTCAAACCCTGCTTTTTCCCAGACTCCCTAGTCTGATAGTGGAGTTGCAGCTGTGCCCTCAGAAAACCCAGGGTGCTAGGAAAACTCAAGCCTTACCCTTGGGAGCGTCCCTAATCTGACGGGAGAGCCACAGCCCTACCCTCAGGAGCCCTCAAGTCTAATGGGGAACCCAGGGCCTACCCTCAGAAATCCATAGTCTGAGAGAGCCACAGCCCTGCCCTGGGGAATCCACCGGTGTGGAGAGGGAGAGACATGACTCAGCCATGGAGAAGGAACCCAGAAGACGTTGGAGCTGAGGGCTGCTGGGGGAGGGCAGTAGAGATTTCCCAATCGTACACTCACCGCAGCCTCGAAGGCCCTCTTGAGGCTGGCTAGCTCGTACAGGACACAGCCCAGGGCCCAGATATCGCTCTTCTGGTTGTAGGGCTTGCCCTCACACAGCTCTGGGGAAATGTAGCACGGAGTACCCACCACCTGCAGGAGGGAAGCTGAGATCACAGCCCTGGGGGGAGGGAGGACCAGGGGTTTTGCCCACAGCCCTACTTGGGGATAGCTTCTTCTCAAAGCAAGGCGAGGGACTTCCTTCTGCAGGACCACCCAGGCAGGGGCCAAGGGGCCACACTTTTAGTGGGGAGGGGAAAAAGGAGGGATGTAGAATAGCCTTGGCTCTCAAGACCTCTAACACCCTGGAAGTCCCCTCCATGCCCAGGCACCGTGTAAGCCTTGCTCTTGCTGCTAAGGATCTTGGAGATGCCAAAGTCACCGATCTTGACGACCATGCGGTGTTTGTCAAGCAGGATGTTCTGGGTCTTGAGATCCCGGTGCAGAATGAGGTGCGTGTGCACATGATGCAGTGCGAGCAGGATCTGCACAAAGAAGTGCAGGATGGTCTCCTCCTCCAGCAGGGAATTACAGCGCTTTTGGATGAACTCAGCCAGGGTGCCACCTGTGGCCCGAGGAACTGATCAAGATGCAAGCTTTCTCACCCCTAGGACAACCCCTCTCCTTTTATGGAACAGCACACTGGGACCAGAGAGGGCAAGGGGCCAGCCAGGGTCAGACAATTTGGGCCAGAACTCTGTACCTCTGAGCCTCAGCCAAGCCCATTCCAAGGAGGGAAGCTGGCTGATCTGTCTGCCTGTCTCAGAGGTAGGAGGCCCCTGTAGCCAGGCTGCTGCAAGGAGGTTGGCCCACCTGGTGCATATTCCATGGCGATCATGAGGGCCTTGTCCTCCAGGAAGTTCTCGTAGTACTCAATGACATTGGGGTGGTTGAGCAGCTTGAGTACCTGGCACTCATTCTGGGCTGCCTGCCGCTCTTCCTTGGTCATCTGTTCTACTGGGATCTGCTTGATGATCACCAGCTTCTGGTCAGCCTTTCGCAGGCACAGGTGCACAATCCTAGAAACACAGAGGACAGGGACAGGCACCAGCTGAGCCTCTGCCACATACCAGGCAGGGCAGACCTGGTGACTGGGATGTTCCTTAGAAGAGGGTAATGGGACTCAGACTAAAAGGTCATCTAACCAAGTGCACAGAACGCCGAGCTTGGGAAAAGGGAGAACTGATCCCATAGTCCATGTGAGACTTCAGTTCCAGCACAGGCACCATGAGGTACAATTAGTCTTGATCTCTAAGTCCCCACAGACTCCAGAGTTAACTGCCTGGGTTCAAAACCAGGCTCCGGGCTGGGCGTGGTGGCTCACGTCTGTAATCCTAGCACTCTGGGAGGCCGAGGCGGGCGGATTGTTTGAGCTCAGGAGTTCAAGACCAGCCTGAGCAAGAGCGAG